TAAAACCTTATTAATAACTTTTTTCATAATAACCTCATATAATCTGAGATCATTTCTTTAATGAGAGGATCTAATAAAAAAAAAATCAAATTACTGTAGCTAAGACAGTCCATTTGTTGCACAGTGTGGTTCATTACAAAAATGTGCCTACATTATGCATGAATGTGCACAGCACATGGGGTGGAAGCTGTACTATACTTATTTATTCCTAGCCACCCTACCTTATAGCAATTCCACCAGCCCACTCACACAAATGTTACTCAGTATGTATGGGTAGTATTTAGCAGCATTTGCATACCATATCATAATAAGAATTTATTCAAATCATCATTAATAAAATGTTGTATTTATTTATTTATTTATTTATTTATTTATTTGTTTGTTTATTAGGTGTACTCTGAAGTGGATGAGTGTTGTAAAGCATTGTCACAGCGCCTTGGTGATCAGTATTATTTTTTCTTAGACAGGTATTTGAAAATACTTAAATAGTTTAAAAAGCACTTACCTAGTGGGAGATATTATAACTGATCTAAGGACCTAGAAATCAATTGTGTATCTTGTGATGTCATGCGTACATTTGTGTCAGCCGTTTAACCATGGCAAAAACGATTTTTACCAAATTTCATCATATCCGTGGAAGGCATTTAAAACGGTAGATCTTATTTAGTTTTGTCTTAATAATAAATTGATATTGTAGGCATCTTTATCTTTTGCACTGTGCTGATGTATGTCCACTTATAAACAAATATTAAATCATTGTGCGTACCACAGCAGTCTTGATTTAGCCAATGGAAGTTCAAGAATTTTCATGGATATATGCCGTAACCTGTTTATAGAATGGTGTATAAGATCAAAGTACTCATAACTCTGCATTTGCAATATATTAATCTTTATATATTCACAATGGCAGTTTAATAGGGCACAACTCTCCAATTTGCAACAGCCATGATACAAATTAGTTGAATCAGTTTAATGTTTGATGACTAGTTTAATGCAGAAAACTATGCATATTGATTTTTGTAATTTTTGACTCCCATGTGCGAAGCACAAAATGGGAGTCTTTGCAGTTAGTGTGTCTGTATGTGTGTATGTGTGTATGTGTGTGTGTGTGTGTGTATGTGTGTATGTGTGTCCGACTGTTCCACTGCTATCTCAAGAACCATACATCGGTTTTTGATGAAACTTGGTGCATAGATGCTCTGGGCCAATGCGCAGATTTGATTAGGTTTTGGTAAAAATCCATGCTCGTTAATTACCTAATTTGCATGATAATTAGCTAATTTTTAGCTGTTCTATGACTGTTCCACTGATATCTAAAGAACCACTCATTGGATTTTGATGAAACTTGGTACATAGATGCTCTGAACATATGCGCAGATTTGATTAATTTTTGGTAAAAATCCGTGCATATTAATTACCTAATTTACATGATAATTAGCTATTTTTTAGTGGTTCCATGAATGTTCCACTGATATCTAAACAACCACTCATTGGATTTTGATGAAACTTGGTACATAGATGCTCTGAACTAATGCTAGGTTTTGATTAGTTTTTGGTAATAATCCGTGGATACTAATTACCTAATTTGCATAATGATTAGT